CCTGCGCAAACGTTAGGCACTGGCCACACCAGCCTAGAAGGCCTTGGTCTGCACCTCTTTTGCCAGGCAACTGTTTTAATTTATTATGGGCTCCTGAAGGCGACGTGCAAGGCGACGTGCGAGGCGACGTGCGAGGCGACGTAGGCATTTTGGCTGGCTGCGGCTCGCCCCGTGGATCCGCACCAAGAACTGCAGCGCGGGCAAAGCGCTGGAAGGCGCTGAACAGGTCTGAATGAGGCGGGCATAGTCCACGGGACAGGTTCGCCACGTCAAGGGATTGCGCGTGACACCAGTCCAGCAGCTCCACCCAGGTGGTCTGGACCTTTGTCAGGGTTGGGAGGACAGCAACTCGGCAACCAACGGATCAACCGTAGTGCGGCTCTTGGCCAAGTCATCACGATAAGTGCTGGCCTGGAAGAACACGGCTTCCAACGTTGTCTTGAACTCCGCATTGCGCACTGGCAAGGGGGCACCCGATCGCTTCTGAGACAGCCTCGCCACCCGTGGTGGAGGGTGGAAAGCTGGGGCACAGGACGGACGCACCGCCGGCATCCCCAACGCCTTAAGCGAAGGAGAAGGAGCCCCACCATGCTGGGCCAGCACGACCCTAACATCTCCACTCGAGCCCTCGCCCACGTTGGCACGGCACTCGAGCCAGGCGTGAGCACCCGCTAAACCACCCTCCCCAACTGCCTCGGCGAAGTCCAGGAAGTAGAAGGCGAAATCAGCATCAGCTTGAAGCCCATTACGCTCCCTGAATCTCTCCATCGCCATGGGCAGAAAAGGACCCCTGGCAACTCCAGGAAAAGAAATTCACCCGAAGCCGTTTTGGGTCACTTGAGCATACGTGGCAGCCCTCCACCCCCACGGTGTTCTTTTTCTTCTGAGATCGGTGGGTTGGGGGCAGCCATGCCAGGTACGGCAAGGATGAGTCTTAGTGAAGAATCGAAATTGTGCTCCGCGCAGCTTTGAAGGAGCTCCCCGAGCTCAGCAGGAGCTCCTGTCCGCGAACGGGCCAAAGCCCGCATCCCCGCCCACAAAGGGCCCCGTAAGGCCCCCGAAAAACAGGCACATGCGCGGCCCGCAAATGCATTCCAGCCAACCCCAGGACCCGCACGAAGGCCAGGACGGTGCCCGAGACATGGCATCTAACAAGGGTCCTTGCTTAAAACGTCTTAAGACATCTAGGATCAAACGCTGTCAGCAGGGTGAATCATTTTCTTGGCACCCAGGAGCCATCTTGGCAGCCTTTAGCCACTCCGGGCTCTGCTCTATGGAGCCAAACCGTTGACCTTCAAAGATCCAAAGTGCAGAAAGGATGCCCTCTCTCTCCATCACCGTCTTCAAGAAGGTCAAGGCTGATTGCAAGCAAGTTACTGTGTGGTTCCCAAAATCTCTTGCATCAACAGCGACACCTTAAGGGCTCGAGATTCCAAGCGCATGCGAAATGACGATGTTTTCCCATATCTCCTGCGTAAACAAACGATAGCTGGGATTCACAAACATGTGGCGAATGGTGTTTTGGATGGACTCTAATGTCCGCACACCAAGTCAGTTGCAAGGAAGGACCTTGGATGCCTTGGATGGTCCTAATGTCCACAGCTTGGGTAACTGTGGTACGGTAGGTATGTCATATCTTGAGCATTCACTAAAGGCATACGATTACACAAAAACCGTTCAAAGCCTACGAATGCTTGGCTGGAAAAATCAGTCTTGGCGTACGCGCAATCAGTAACTTTCCTTTGGAACATTCGATGGAGGAACAGCTTGACCCCTGCATTGCCACAAGCAACCTACTAGTAATACTACTGACTTCTACTATACTAAGTTGCCCACTATTATATCAACACGGCTGCGTGACCCAATTCCCAATTACGGACTGTCTGCAGTTGTAGGAATTGGTGGAGCGCAATTTGGCAACTTGCACGGCGCAGTGCACGTATAACATGGGCAAGAACTTGTGCATTTTGATGCGAAAATTGCGGGCTGGCTTCGGCTCCAACCGGGCCTTGCACAATGCCCGCGGAGCAAAAACGCATGAAGCCTAGGCCTGATCCTGAAGTGAAGTGAACAATTTCGTTGGAAAGTCGGCCTGTGCCGCATTTCGCGGCGCCCTCTTTCTGTGTTTAATCGTTGAGCAGAAGGGTGCCATGTGTTTTACAGGAACCCTTGTCTGCTGGCATCACACTTGAAGCGTCCACAACACAATCTTGACCAACATCTTGACATACGCATATCTTGGCTGCTTTGCGCTGCCTGTTGCAGGTCGAGGGAGGGCTCGACGAACGCAAACCAACAGCGAAAACTGGCACGACTATATTCTCAGCTGTCTTAGCTCCATCACCGGACGAATCACATCAAAGTTCTCTGGAACACATCAATTGCCCGAAACAATTCAAACCACTGCATCCTCTAAGAGCTTGTCAGCTTGAACTCAGGAATTATTTTGTTGCCACTAGCTCCAGTTATCTCCATTTCATGTTCATATATACTTGATCTTCATCCGAGCTTGACCTTAAGCAGCTATGCAAGAGGTTGAGAGGGGCACAAGGGATGAAAAGTGACAGCTGCCTGCACAGAAGTGGCAAGTAAGGGTTAGCCAAAGGAATTTCCTCAAATTTTGCACGACAACTGCTTTTGCTGAGGAAACCTGTTTGATTCCTGTGTAAGCTGGGCCCCTACGGATTTCCCTCTGCATGATGGCAGCATCTGACCAGTCCTTTTTCAAACAACCTCAGGCCCCCAAAGATTGTACGATTGAAGGCTGCAAAGTCCTGAAGTCAGTGAGAAAGGCCCTGTCATTCTTTTTTCCCTAGTTCCTTTTCATTGCCACACATTGAGTGACACACGCATAAATTCTGCCCCGTCTGCATGCCACCAGAAGTTACCCTATCGACTCAGCACTTTCGATCCTTGTCCCACTTCTGCAAGAGTATGGAAGTTCTACACTCATGGGGCTAAGCTAGGAGCAAAGCAACTTCCATTGGCAGCGCCTTGAGCAAAGCCAAAGCCCACAATGCCACTGACAGTGCAAGTTTCTATTGCAAGGTGTGGTCACACAAATGGTCTACATCTCGCTTCTCTGAACATATTCTGTCACACAACTAGCTCGACCGAACCTAGCGTCAAAATCAACAAATGTACGGCTTGGCAGGAGCTGCCGCAACCGGATTTGTTTACGACTTATGTAGTGACTTAGTGCAAGAAAGCACCCCGATGAATAGCTATGTTCCAAATAATTCCAAAGTTGTCATTCCGACAGCTACGAAAAGGTGCTCTTCCGCACTTTCTGTGCACTACACACCGTCTGAAGCTACATTTGCACGATGTGCCAAGCAAAAATGACGCCTGAACTCCACTCGTTGCTTTCAATGCGCTTCCACAAAGCAGAATAACAGAAGTTTCAAGCCGTTGTGTGAAAAGCCTCCGCCTCAGCCAGGCAGGAACCAACTTGCAGAAACAACATTCATCACGTCATTCGATGTGAACAACGGAATTGTACTGGGAACAGGTCTGCTTCGACAAATGCCAATGCTCGGACAATTGGACTAATCAGGCACCCAAACATCCAGCGTCAGCGAGACTCATCTCAGGCTTCAATACTTACAGGGGCAACAGCACTTCCAGCAGGCAGTCCTCAAACCCCTGCAAATGCAACGTGCAAGTTGCAAAGCTCCCTCAAACCATCCTGGAGACCAGCTGTTCGAAGAGTTGGGAGATTGCCAACTTTCATAGCCTCAGGAATGCGGTACAGGTGCTGCAACAAAGTTTAGGAAACTCCACATGCAACAGGAGCTTGCTCTCAAACATGACTTCGTCCGAAGCGAGACAAACCGTGGCACCTATGCAAAGTATCTGAACACTTGGGTTCACACTGCACTCGAATCATTGTCAGGAAAAAATGGCGACCCAAAACACGGCTTGGTTCTCTTCAGGCGAACAAGCAGGCATGGCTCACATGGCTCTTGGACACCCAGACAACGCATTTGAATTCGCGGCTGTGGAAAAGATATCGCACTGCCAAAGAGGTGTCCCTGCCAGCTGTGGGTGGGCAGAATTGTGCTCACTTTGGGGTTGGCAGACTTTGGGAGACGGAATTCCATGCTCTGCGACTTGCATGAGCCCAATGAGCGATGTCTCAAACACTCTTATGGACACCACGACCGCCAATCACACCAACCCAAAAATCAATAAAAACATAGTCAGTACCATGCCAGCTGCCAGCCGGGGAATGAAACCATTTTGGCCCATGTAGCTGCATACAAACTTTGCTGCAACAGGGTCCATGTTGCTTGCTGCAATCTTCTTTCTGGGTTGCAGCTCCAGAAAATTATCCAGAAAATAGCTTACCAGTGGTCCTCCTACGGCCCTGCAGCTGGCAGCAGAATATTAGGTGCAAAAGAGTCAGCTTCTGGCTGAATAGATCCATCCATACAGGTCCATTAAAAAAAGAAACATCATGTATAACAAGTAGTGAATGTGAAATTAAACCAGCAATAAACAACACACATCAGTGTTCAGTGCCAGGGGTCTTGGCCTTGGCCCAGTGGGTTCAACTGGCGCAATGCGGCACAGTCCACATTGATAAGGAATTCGGAATGCATGCTTCCGCTGGTGTGGCGACGCTGGAGACTGGCCGGCATGGGTCCTAAGCACAACAGAATGGCTTGCCCCAAGCAAACTGGTCTGAGTCTCTAGTTTTCCAACGTCAGAAGATTCAATGCAAACGTGAATCCATCCAATTCCTGCAATTTACAAAACATGAGCACAATGCACGACACGAAAAGAGGAATTGAATTGTTCAGATTTGGGGCAAGCCCTCTTTCAATGTGAGAAGAAATTGACAATAAGACCGTTTCCTCACCTCTCCTTTGTGGCGAGGCAAAAGGCAACAAGAAGCACAATGAACATGGCAATTTGACCGATCAGACTGCCTATGGCCTGTGACCCCTATGCCCATGACTATGACTCCTGCTGCAACGATCCTTGAAAAACGCAAGGTGCTTCTGGCTCATGCTGCGTTCCACACATACCACAAAGCCTGCCCAAGGCCAAAGCAATCAAACCAGCACCTGTGTTCTAGCTCCATCATCACCCGATAAAACAAAGTTGGACTTGGACCGTGGCTTGCCCGGACCCGATGTCTGGCCAATTGATATCGGTTGAACAAACAAGTGAATTGTGATTGCTGACCTTATTCGGCAAGTGGGAAATATAGCCTCACATGGTACTTGGCTTTTGTGCAGCTTGTCCGACTACACATGTGGGCAAGATTGCCCGACAATGCAAATCAAATCCTTCGTACAAGAACACATGAACAGCCGTCCCAGCCAAGGTGCTTATTGAGTGGTGGAGAAACGTCTGCATTTCCAACGCGTGTCTGTGCGAGGAAAATGATTTCACACAGCAAACCCCTCCCAAATGTTCGGACTTCCTCCTGCCAAGCAAAGCAGGGTAGAATAAAGAAGCTGACGGTAAGAAAACAAGATGCTGACTTGAGAACTTCCATCTTCTGATCACTGAGTGGTTGGTCTCGCTTTTCTACATTGTGAGCAACTCACAAGCAATCTCCTTGTTAACTCCGCAAAAGGCCTGGCACAGGACAAACTGATGAAGCATTTCCTTTTGCTGGCTCTACTTTAGATCAACTTGGTGGCTTTCCATGACTTTGCTCTGGCAAACCAGGGCTATGCCTTTTAAATTCATCTTACAGTTTCTTTGAGGCACTTGTGTGATAGATTTGCAGGCTACATGTAAAGCAAGCATTCACAATTGCTTGAAGTGGTGGCATTGCTCCGAACACAAAAGACCGTCTGCTCAAACATGGCTGCACATAGCTCTGCCAAAGAACAAAGCACGCTGATGTACAATTACCATCAATTGAAGCTCGAAATCAACGCACCTTTGTTGGAACCCTTTGCGACATGATATGTTGAACTGGGACCGAAAACAACAGCTCAGCTCACTGGCCACATCCGACGCCGAAACGTTGGGCTATGATGTTCGATGCGGCTGCGCGGGTTGTACCAAGCCGCCTCATGGGAAAGGCTAGCGACCGGCAAGTCACCGAGTCGACCGGCGATGCAATCGCTTCAATCGCTTCGGGATCTTCACGGTGAAATCGCAGCCTGGGACCGAACGAAATGGACTAAGCAAAGAGGTCAACTTCGGCAACTGAATTCTCGAAGAGTTGGATATGATCATATCGTGGTGCATTCAAAGGCAAGAATGAGGCTACCCCGACTGGGGTGCCTATGATGCAACACTTGAGGCCGAGGGTTGGTGACGAAAGCTATGCCAGCGGAAATACACACGTCCCAGAGACGTCCCAGGGAGGAGTTGAACCCGCGGAGGGGGGGGGCCCCGTACATATGAAGTTTTCACGCGATGCGGCGCTCTCGAGGATTCCAGCCCCTCACTTGCTAAAGCAAGAACAACTCCAGCTGGCTGGTGCTAGCTTTCGTGATGAGCACCGCTGTGTTCTAAAATTCGTGAACCACGCGGATGCGCTCCGAAACAGCACATGTTTGTTTCATTAACATGGAGCTTGGAGCCTTATCAATTTGGGAATGAAGCCCTGCACTACATTAACAAAAAGCCTGGATGAAATCGGGCCGACTTCTGTGCCGATGTAAAGAACGACCGTTTTTGGAGGGTTCTGCCATTTGCTATGTTACGAGTAGAGCCCAGTAGTGCGATTTGCCGAGGAATTTACAGCTTCTTCTTCACTCACCGAAAGTCAACCAAACTTTGGAAGTCAAAACATTGAAAAACATAGAAACACTGTTGCTCAGCTTCCTGTGGAGTGAAGTAGAATTTACTCTACCACGATGATTCAGTTTCACGCATCCTTACCATCTCGCGCCTGCACTTACCACAAACACCCAAAGGGCAGGGCCTAACATTATGTAGATTGAGCGCCTCGTGCCGGCTTGCTTCGGCTTAACAAATGCGGAATACCAAGGCTACAGCTTGAAAAAAACAATGATGCATATCATATAAGTAAGCACATGTTACATGTCTTTAAAGCAATTGGTCGACAGTACCCACTTGCTTAACAAATCCTTGTCAGCTCTTGCTAGCATGCATTAGAAGTGCTTCTCGAAGGGATCCTTGTGGCTTCAAAACGCAAAACATGAGATTGCTTCACCTGGAGTGTCCAAAATGCGCTGCTATTGCCTGCTAGATAGTGCAAGCCCAACTGAATGTTGTTCAAACACCTATCCAGAATTTGTTCTAGTGGGCCCGGGCTCTTCTTCCGCTCATGTCTTTCGCGCCACACAAGTGGCGGCTTGCGATGTGGCTTTCGGGCACCTCCACGGACAGAGTTGCTTTACACGAACCGTAGGATATTATACTTACATGCACGTAATTCCAAAAATAACATCTGCTGGTCTCCGAAAAGCAGCCGCACCGCAAGCTTTCGCACATGGGACGTATAAGCGTTTCACAGACCTTTCGCGACGTGTTGACCTTTATGCGAAGACAGCCCAGGCATATTATCTTAACATCTCTTCCCATCATTAGATGGCAAACTTTAATGGTTCAACTGGGCCTTCTAGGCCTTGGTAATGCTTGCAAAGGCTCATGGCTGTGCCCCACAAAGGCTGATGAGCTTGAAGGCAACCCAAAGTGATTGAAAGCATCTGTTTTACAATGATTGGGTGATGTTGAGTAGCAGTCGATATTTCGTGCCAGCACAGGTTCTGGAATGGCACCGTCAGTCTAAAAAAATTAGACAGAGATCCACTGGCAGCTTCTTGCTTGTCACCCCGTTCTGCATCTACACAAACCCCAGTTTGTGCAATCTGCAGGTGGGTTCCAACAACCTCTGCATTGGGACCTGGGTGCGCCTGCGCCACAGGCCAAGTGCAGCAAAACATCTCTGCACATCTCTTCACATCGTTACATGGCGCCCATTGACATCTCTTTTTTGCCGAGAGGGGCGTAAACGGCGGAGACATGCGGAGACCCTTCTGGAGCCGCCGCCGCGTGGTGATTTGAGGTATGAATGTGATGTTGTTTTTGTCGAGCTTTTCACTCCACGCGCTCCCCCTCGCCAAAAACTGCAATAATGAGGAAACAATTTGTCCGCTCCAAACGACCAAGCCGAAGCTTTGACGCTTTCCCGGTGCAAACTTGTGCGATCGATGGACGACGGTGCACACATCCTGCAAAAAGTGCGCCTCCCCATCCTGCGGTGATCCAATGGGGAATCGGAGGTTTGTCAAGTCAAGCCGCAATGCTTGCACATGTGAGCCGTGCTTTTTTCACGGGTCAAGTGCCTATACACTGCTGGAATGCTTATGCTGCAATGCTTACGCTGGAGACTGCGCAGGGCAATCATGTGTGAAAGGGTTGGTCTCGCGAGGCTTCGCAGATTCCAAGCGGCATCGCGGAATGGCTTTGTGGGTTCTTTTTTCTTTGATTCCAGCGACAAGCCTTGTGCTACACTGAAGCGGAGCTTTGACTGATCTTGGGTGGGGTTTCCCAAATTTCCAAAATTCTGCTCTTTCTCCCCTCTGCTCCTCTTCATGTGCACTGAATTTGCACTATGCGGTCTGGCATTGCTTTTACCACCAGCCCAGCCAATGCTGTCCTGCTAACAGGATGTTCAATTGATTGCAAGCTGTTTTAAGCACTGGTTTAGGATGAAGACACACTATCGCCTTTTCCGTTGCAGTGAAGAGCCAAAAACCTCGCAAACCCTCAAAAAATACACTCGCACTGACTCTATTGGCGTCATCCTCTCGGCTCCTCCTCATATGCAGCACCGATCGATTTGCACGACCTGGCCTGGCATCATCTAGTCAATGAAACACATTGTGCTGCTAAATGATGTGGGAGTCCTCACGTGTTCTGGGAACTCTTGCTCACCGAAACGACTAAATCGGAGCCTTTATGAGGCTTCCGCTCCTGCGAACTTCAGCGGTCGGGATCTGTAATTCACCTCGCACCTACTTGCATCGCATCATGCACCTCCGCTCCTCCTCATGTGCAGCCCTGAGTTTGCCCTATGCAAGGGTGGCGAAAGGTTCTTTGCCAAGTCAAGCCGCAATGCTTGCACATGTGAGCTGTGCTTTTTTCAAGGGTCAAGTGCCTATACACTGCTGGAATGCTTACGCTGGAGACTTCGCAGGGCAATCATGTGTGGAAGGGTTGGTCTTGCGAGGCTTCGCAGATTCCAAGTGGCATCGCGGAATGGCTTCGTGGGATCTTTTGTTTTTGATTCCAATGACAAGCCCTGTGCTACACTGAAGCGGAGCTTTGACTGATCTTGGGTGGGGGTTCCAAAATTTCCAAAATTCTGCTCTTTCTCCCCTCTGCTCCTCTTCATGTCCACTGAATTTGCACTGTGTGGTCTGGCATCGCTTTTACCACCAGCCCAGCCCATGCGGTTCTGCTAACAGGATGTTCAAATGATTGCACGCTGCTTTAAGCACTGGTTTAGGATGCAAACACGCTATTGGCTCTACGTTGCACTTGAAAAGCAATAATCTCCCAAACCCTCCGCATCTGCAGCACTGATGAATTTGCACTACGTGGCCGGCATCATCTTGTCAATGAGCAACATAGTTCTACTAAATTCTGAGGGAGTCCTAACATAGTAATAGGCAAATTCTACGGTCAGGATCTGTAGAAATTCGGCTGACACTTACCTGCATCGCATCACGCAATAGCTCCTCTTCGCAGCACTGAATTCGCACGATGCGGCCTGGCAGCTAGCCTTTTTAAGCAAGCCTGGCCCTTGTGATTCTGCTAGCTGGGTGTTTCGATGATTGCAAGCAGTTGATACGTTGATTTAAGCAACGGCGAACAAAACTGTTTGTCGTTTTACATTTCAGTGATACGCCAATAATCTCCCAAATAATTAGGGGCCTTAAGGTACGGGACACACATTGCCCACCTCAGTGGGTATGAAAGGAGACCACCAGTAAATACATGTCACCACATCGCACCAAGTCACCGACCGTGGTGAAAAAGTTCTAGCAGTCACTCCTTGAGCTGCAGTCAACAAGAAGTTCTGCAGCAAGGGCACGCAGTTGCGTCCCACAGGTGAGCCGTGTAATGGGTGAAGTGCCTATCCACTGCTGGGTTGCCTACGCTGGCGGGCTCGCAGGGTCAGAATTTGTCGACAATGTGGCTTCGCGGGCTCCGCGCGACACTGGAGGCTTCGCAAATTGGTTTCGCGAAGTTGTTTCAGAACGTTTCATACGTGAATTGGCTTCGTCTGATTCGCCTGTGTGTAATGAAAGAGCCTATGCACTGTTCTTCTCTCTAGCACCGTTCTTCACTCCAGCACCTATTGACTCTTCCATACTCGTGCCCGCCATCGAAACCGTGAAGACCAAAGGAGATGGCGAAAGGTTCTTTGCCAAGTCAAGCCGCAATGCTTGCACATGTGAGCTGTGTTTTGTTCAAGGGTCAAGTGCCTATACACTGCTGGTATGCTTACGCTTGAATGCTTACGCTGCAATGCTTACGCTGGAGACTTCGCAGGGCAATCATGTGTGGAAGGGCTTGTCTTGCGAGGCTTCGCAAATTCCAAGCGGCATCGCGGAATGGCTTCGTGGGTTCTTTTTTCTTTGATTCCAGCGACAAGCCTTGTGCTACACTGAAGGGGAGCTTTGACTGATCTTGGGTGGGGGTTCCAAAATATCCCAAATTCTGCTCTTTCTCCCCTCTGCTCCTCTTCATGTGCACTGAGTTTGCACTATGCGGTCTGGCATTGCTTTTACCACCAGCCCAGCCAATGCGGTTCTGCCAACAGCAGCCAATAAGTTGTTTTAAGCACCGGTTCAGAATGAAGACACACTATCGCCTTTTCCGTTGCAGTGAAAAACAAAAACAACTTCCAAACCCTCAAAAAAAATCTACACTCGCACTGGCTTTCTTGGCATCATCCTCTCGGCTACTCCTCATCTGCAGCACCGATCGATTTGCACGACCTGGCCTGGCATCATCTAGTCATAACATGTGTTTGGCATTTCTTGGCCCCATTGTCCGCCCAAACGACTGAACCAAAGGGCTGTGCTGCTGCAAACTTCAGCGGTGTGATCTGCACTGATGAGATCCATTGGCAGCTTAACTACTTCTACACAAAATTGCTTGTGGAAGGTGACATGGTAGTTGTGGTCGTGACAGGTTTGAGCGTCATTGGGTCTGCATGGCCTGGCTAAGAAAAAGCACATCTTCCCCCAACACCACACAGATCCACCACGCTCTTTTTTCGTTTTAGGTCGCCACCTCCGAGCCTCGCATCCGTCTTTTCTTGCCCCAGCCGACCAGCAAACCCTTCGACCCGAGTCGACGTGGCGTGACTTTAGATGTGAGTTGCATGGAATTGGCACATTTAATTTGTGCACTCCAAACGACCAAGCCGAAGCTTGTACGAGGCTTTCGCTGTGCTACTGCGAAGTTCTCCGTTTACGATCTGCACGGATCGATGGGTGATGGACGAGCACAGTGAGAAGTTTGCACAGCAAAAGTGCATGGAAACCATCCTGCTCCTCCCCATCCTGCGGTGATCCAATGTGGCGTCGGAGTGAAACAAGGTGCCGAACCCGCACGCTGCAAAGAATCACCTCATATTGACTTTCTTGGCATCATCCTCATCTGCAGCAATGATCCATTTCCACTATGTGGCCTGGCATCATCCTGCAGGCTCCCCTTCATCTGCAGCACCGATCGATTTGCATTATGTGGCCTGCATCATCTAGTCCTAACATGTTATTGGCACCATTGTCCACCCAAACGACTGCACCGAAGATCTTATGAGGCTTTCGGCTGTGCTGCGGTGAACTTCAGCGGTGTGATCTGCGCTGATGAGATGCATTGGCTGCTTCACTACTTAAAAACAAAATCCCTTTTGTGGAGGGTGACATAGTGGTTTTGGTCGTGAGGGATTTGACAGTCATTGGGGTTGGAGAACTGGAGTGAGAAGGGAAGTTCAAAAATTCAAAGTTCGCAATCAAGTAGACTCTGCAGATTCAGTGACTCAGTCAGCTGAGCCTATTGAACGCTCTGAAGCTCCGTGCGCATCACGCATCTCTGCTCCTCTTCATCACTGAGCTCACGCTAGGCGGATCCTGGCCCCACCTCATCTGTAGCACTGATCCATTTCCACTATGTGGCCTGCTCATCTGCACCTGGCCTGGCCTGGCATCCTCT